AAATAGATGAATGTGAAGATTCTGGCAGAACTGAACTCTAGATAAATCAGATGAATAACTCAAGAACTGACCGTTAGCTTTTCGATCCCTCCGGTCATAATATAGTTCTAGTCGTCCTCTACCTGTAGCCACCGAGTTTACACCGATCAGACACCGTTTGATTACTCAAAATAGCCTCGCCTCCAAGTTGGTCGCAAACACAGACTGCACATAGACCTTTCACCAAAATAAGTATAACTCTCAGAAACTAATTTGAAATTATGATCCGCTTGCTGGGGATGATAGATAAAAGAACTAACTACTTACTGACAAATTTCCAGACTGAAAGCTTTCGTTTAGGTTGACCGTTTTGCCTTTACGCTGAGACTGCTCGAAACTGCCTCTGCAACACAACAGTTTAATTATCGGCACGAAGAAACGTCAATAACTTTCTAACTGTACCTTTGTTTCACGATCGGAAAGATGATCTAGAAAGCTGACATCGAGATCTTTCTAATGATATCTCGATAGTTTCCTGGTTCATTCTGGATCAACGGGAAAATATTGATGAAGATGACTGCTGGTAGATCCGATCTGCAGAAATCGGTCCCGAAGAAATAATCATAACTCTTAGATAAAAATTCCAAATGACGATCCGTTTTCTGATATACGTAGATCTAAAAGTGTAGAACATAACCTCAAAATTTGGCTTCGAAATATTTAGATTTGATTGATCGTTCTTTTGTTCTCCCAAAACGTGTATGCTGAGGCTTAATCTCTCTTTAAATAGGAAGAATTTAGGGTTTTCTGCCACACTACTGGGCCTAACCGGACCGAATTTACTGTGCTGGATTTTGGGTCGTTACAACAATCTTCCTAATGCTACGCCTATATTCGAGGATTAGTAATGGGTAGTGTCATCGTTTCCTAAGTTTCCAAAACGTACATTGATTATTTTCTTGAACTCAATTTGTTTAGTTAGATTCTTCGAACTAATATTTAGACGAAAATAATATATAGATGAAACTCGATATCTAACAGTGATTATTAGGATGGTAATTGGGTGACAAAATCATTAATACAGTTGAAAAATGTTAAATCAATGTATCAGTGGTTTTGTAGTTGCATATACGTGTATAAGATAAGCTGTATGTCTGTTAACAGCACAAGACTAACAATATATATACTGTATGTGCGTATATGTCAAAGATCCATGTGGTATTTAATATTTTAATTTTTCCAAGTGTCCTACACAAGTTAAATCAAAAGAAAGACATATGCCCTAAAGCTTAAATGGTATAAAGGGTGGGTCCTATACAAACCTCCCATGAACTGATCTCTTCATTCTTCTTCTCCTTCTCACTTAAGTTTCTCTCATAAGAAAACTTCAAGATCTTATGTTCTTGACCCCAAAACAAGTTATTGATCTAAATAACTAAGATTGACTAGCTCACAAGTTATCAGAGAAGTTAATCATTGGCCGGCTTTGAGCGTGTGTATACACATATATATATGTATATGTATGAGGAGGAAAGGAACAATATTGTTAATAATCAAGAAGGAGTGAGACTGGAGATGGCCTTTCCACAACATGGATTCATGTTTCAGCAACTCCATGAAGACAGTGCTCATCACTTACCTTCCCCTACTTCTCTCCCTCCTCACCTCTTCTATGGTAAGTTCCTCCTCTCTCTTACTCTCTCTCTTTTTCTACACACACACAAACATGTATATAATAGTGTGAAAAGGGTTTAGATCTCACAACTGTCTTTGTTTTGGTGTAGGAGGAGGAGGAGGAAACTACATGATGAACAGATCGATGTCGTTCACGGGAGTATCAGATCATCATCATCTAACTCAAAAAAGCCCGACCACGACGAACATGAATGATCAGGACCATGTGGGAGAGGAAGACAATCTATCAGATGATGGGTCCCATATGATGTTAGGAGAGAAGAAGAAGAGGCTCAATTTAGAGCAAGTTATGGCATTAGAGAAGAGCTTCGAGCTAGGGAACAAGCTGGAGCCAGAGAGAAAGATGCAGCTTGCTAAAGCTTTAGGGATGCAGCCAAGGCAGATTGCGATATGGTTCCAGAATAGGAGAGCTAGGTGGAAGACAAAGCAGCTCGAAAGAGACTATGATTCTCTGAAGAAACAGTTCGATGTTTTGAAATCGGACAATGATTCTCTTCTAGCCAACAACAAGAAACTCCATGCTGAGGTATATGTTACAAATAATTCTCCTAGTATTTCATCACGTTAACGAATTTTGGTTAAACTAATTTTAATAATTTTAATCTAGGTGTGTCTGAGTTTGTAGAATTTTAGTTATGAACTATTTTTGTCATTCCTTTGTCAAAAAGAAAAAAAAAAACTATTTTCGTTATACATCAAGCGCATACAGAAGGTAAATCTTCATGGAGCAACATGTAGTTAGCGATCTTAGACTGGCTTTAATTTTTTAATTAAAATACGATAAAGTGCAATTAGATTGCTGACAGGCTCTTGATCCAACGCAAAGATGTTTGTCAAATGACATTAAATTAACATTTTTCTAATTAGATAAAGATTCTTATGTAATAAATTTATAAAATTCCCATGTGCTTGTGGAGTTGACATTTATGATAAGTTATTTTATTAATTCTTTTTTGTTTGTTTACGTGTGCTGATATTATTACACAAAACAGTTAATGGCATTGAAGAAACACGACCGTAAAGATTCAGCAAAGATCAAGAGAGAATTGGCAGAAGCTTCATGGAGCAACAATGAAAGCACAGAAAATGATAATAACAATTCAGATATAAATCATGTAAACATGATCAAAGATCTTTTCCCTTCTTCAATCCGATCCGCGACTACGACCACGACCTCCGCCCATATTGATCAGCAGATGGTTCAAGATCAAGGATTTTGCAATATGTTCAATGGTATTGATGACACGACGTCGGCTAGTTACTGGACATGGCCTGACCAGCAGCAGCAACATCACAATCATCATCATTTCAATTGATTATATTGTCCAAGAAGAACATCACAAACCTGTTCAACATCTTCATCATACTCATCTTGATATCATTATCATCATCAAACGAAATTGCGTAGATTTTTGTTCTTAATTAAGTTATTTAATTATTTGGCACTGTTTCAAATTAAATCACGTCGGTTCTTTAATTACCGTTTTTGTTGCTTCTTTGTTTTTTTTTAGAAAATTGGTGTATAGGGGGGCGGGATATTCAGCAAAATTGTATAATGAAAAAGTCTTGTTAATTACTTCAAATGGAATAAATAATTTTTCTTTCGTCCAAAATATTTTTCGATACTATATCAAAATGTATATATACAAAACACTGCTAAGTAAGTACAAAAAAAGAAAGTACTAACTTATAACTGGAGCATGTTATCAGAGGTTTTTGTCGGTAATGGTTAAAGTTCGTTACTAAGTTGATAATGTTATGCAGACGATTTTTTTTTTTTTTTTGTTAATAGCTCCAAGTTAATCTGGCTGACAAAAAAGCTTCTTGTAATCGCATGATATCATTTTTATCCGCTAGTTTTGGAAATATTTTTTCGTTGCTAACGTTCAGCTTAATTATCAAAGTTTTCGTTGAAGTGAATGGGTCAGTTTAATTTGATTTTCTTGGTTTTTCTTTCTGTGAGTATTAGGGGTGTTCATCCGGATGTTGGTTCAGTTTTTCAATGTTTTAGTATTTTGATTTATAAAATTGACTACCATATTAATAATATAGCTATTTTGGTTTAGTTCGGTTTATATACTAATGATTTTTGGTTTATTCGGTTTTATACCAAAAATCATATTATATTTACTTTTTATGAAAAATTAGTTTATATGATTAAAATCAGATTTTTTAAAATATAATATATATTCTGTACTCTAAATTTAAAATAGAATATCTTCTTTACATTTTTACTATTAAAAAATAAGAAAAATATTAATACCATGATATTACTAAATAACTTTACTTTAACATAAATATTTACCAATTAAATATGTATTATTTAATTTGATGAAAATGAGAATCTTTTTAACTTAGAAAAATAAAAATAAATAAAATCAGTAGCTTTAAATATGAATATCAAATTCATAAATAATTATGTATATATTATTCATCGAAATCATAAATAATCATGTGAAGTATACCAATTAATTGGTTTCTTCGATTTATTCGATTCAATTCGTTTATATATCAAACTATATTTATATATCGGAATTTCTTAAAATTAACATCCATTTGATATATTTGATACTACCAGATCTAAATTACTTTCTTTATTTCGGTTTGATTTTAACTAAATATAGCATAACATACACATAAATTAATGTTTACCAAAAAATAATCAATTTAAAAGTTTGTAGCTTTTAAATATTTTGCTAGGTAAAGAGCAGAGGTAAAAAAAATAACAAAAACATATGATAAATTGCAGATGCATGATCGACGAAAATGATATTATATAAAATAATCAGATGCATGTGCCTTCGAGTGGGATTCCAGCTCTGTCATCGACACAACATGAACCATGAAATATTATTATCTGTATTTCCATCTACCTTTTATTTTATTTGATATAATCGCGTGTGTGTACGTGTGTTATTTATATCAAATATATAAAAATATTTCTGTAAATAGTTACCGTGTGTATTATTAATAAGTTAATTGTTCCGGTAAAAGTTTGAACAACTCTATCGGTTATATTAATTAGGTTTTCAATAAATATACATCGACTCTTGACTCTTGAGCACAAATGTATAGTGAGACCAACAAGAACTGTAAAATGTATACTTAGCAAAAAAAAGAACTGTAAAATGTAAAAGAAAAAATTCTAGTATAATGTAAATTAGTATTAACAGTTGCGATAATAGTGATAGTGGTAACTGGTAGATGAGTAAGATTATTGGAAGCACACATTCCAAAGACGAAGAAGAAAATTCCAAAAAGTGAACAGATTCGAAACAGTGTTTAGGAGAATCGTTCAGTCATCTAGCTAGCTTTTCGGATCTTTCGATGCTTTTGGATGTTTTTCCCTATTAATAAAATTAAATTATAACCAAAAATAAACATATATTTTGTTATCGCACAAGAAAACAAATAGAGTACCAAATATTTCTCTTCTTTGTAGGCTCCCCATGTGACCTCACTGCCACCACCACTTCACTTCTCCCACAGAAACTGAAACTTGCGATCGTGAAAGTTTAGTTTAGCCGAATCATCTAAAACCACACAATATACATTTATGTAATAAATTCACTCAGTGTGTCCGTATGGTGTAGCAGTTTCGGATTAATAAAATATGATATACATTGGACCGAAACTTTTCACCGAATAATCTGAAACGCACTGTTTTTGTGGAACCAAAGTTATTAAAAAATTCTATAGTCAGATCCTAAAATCATTTGCCGACTGCAGGAATCTATATATTCAGATTTTGTTCGATACGTATATGTACTTTAAAAAGTTATATACGTACTTACATATGTAAGTTATATTCGCATCTACTCTGACTCCAAAAACCTCATTTCACTCTTGGTGTTGAAAGATGTTCTACACGATATCAATGTGTTGGCTGGCTCTTTCTCTTCTATCTCGTTTATGTTTGTTCCGCGTTTAGCGAATGTTGAGGCTGAATTGCTTGCTAAATCAGCTCTCTTTTCCATTGACTCTAGTGAAACCTTGTAGAAACGTTTATGTTTTAATCTCAGTTTGGCTTGCTAAAAAAAAGTACTTACATACGTAATTTATGGAATATATAGTTAGATAATGGCATGTGAGACCATGGGGTCATCATATGTTTTATATGGTTGTATACAATTTTGGTGAAGTGCACATGGCTTATATGATGGATTATGGATAGGTCAACTGATAAATTCTATGTTTTCTATCATTTGATTTAGTGAACACCGTCACAATATATGAATAAACTGACCCGCCATGATCGGATTTAAATGGACTTCAATATGATCTTAAAAGTTTGAAGTATACGATCACATTCAAATATTGACATTTCTTTCTTACCATCATTTTATGTCAAAATCTTATCCACACTTCTGGCATCCTCATTAAGCTTATAGTTTGAAATAAATGAATCAACCTTCTAAAGAAAAATGAGAGTAGGTGCGAGTTTCCTGTGTAGTTTTTTCCGAGCGGAGAAAGTTCATACTCACGAGCCAAATTTCAACATATATACGCCCCCAAAAGTAAATTGTACTTGATTACTGTAAAAGTGAGTAAACCCTTCAAAAAGATGCTTTGGATAAATAAGACGTCAGTATTCTTAACAGTTGGTACATGCATGTGAGCATATTCTTGAAATTGGCATTGATAGTTGTTAATGTGGCTCTTTTTTTGTTTTGTGATGCAAAATGGTTCTTAGACACAACTGTTTCATGACATTTGAAATATCGCAAGCTGTTACAAGCTTACAATCTAATTTCTTCGTCGTGAGAATATTGATTACAATAGTTCCAAATTACTCTAAGAAACAATAGAAAACTTGAAGAGCATATTGTGTTTGTAGTTTTTCCCTGGTTTAACAATCTGTGAAGGAAACTTTGGCTCATTTACTGCGTTTGGATAACTTTGTGTTTCTAAACATAATCCCGCGTAAGCTTGGTATACAGTCCCATTCTTCCCCTTGATGTCCTTTAACATTCCTCCGGTATAGAGAATTGCAAACCCGGTTGGTTTGAGGAAATTCCATTTTTCTTCCCTATTTCTTATCAACGAGTTCCACTATTTTCCTCATCTTATCCGCCTTACCGTCTAAGCAATAATTTATATCATATCTACAAGTAAAATTAATAATTACAAAAATGTATACCAATGTTAGATAACTTGGAGAAAAGTATATGTACTCACCCTGTTTTAAGATCTTTCATATTATCTTTAATACGATGGAGTTGGAGAAATCATATGGTGTTCCTTTCACCGGGGATATTTGTCCAGTGGGAATGAGTTCGCCGTCAACTGGAGTGTAACTTGAGCCTAGGATCTGTATTTCTTCAGATAAAATATCTCCAGCGTTATGACCACCAAGATTCCAATAGGTATGATGAGCTAAGTTCACCGAAGTTGCTTTATCTTTAGGCTTTGCCTCCATCACCACGCTTAATTCATTGTTTTTGACAAGTTTATATGTCACAGTGACAATGAGTTCCCCGGGAAACCCTATTGATATACATAAAAAAAAACTAGTAATCATTACATTTTCCTTAAAATATGTATTTTAAGAGTTTTGGGGGTGAAAATAAAACACTGAAAAGAAAAGGGACCTTGATCGCCATCAGGACTTGTGTAAGTGAATACGATGTGAGGTTTCTTGCCATCATACTTGTGTTTTGTTACTGCCCACACAACATCGCCTAACCCTTTCTTCCTGCCTAAATTAAACATCATTTATGTTCACATAATCTTATAATTAATTGATATCTAGTATGTTGATTGGCAGAATGATGATTTAGATGCTCTTTCTTAGAATAAGAAAGGTTGATTGATTAACATACTAGATATCAATTAATTATAAGATTATGCGAATAGATAAGGTCTACTCTTTTCCGTTCATTTTGAACTGGGCCTTTCTTATTCTATTCGCTTCTCGGCCCACGGTTGCTCCAAAGTAGACCTTATCTTTCGGATTTGCCATAACTTAGTGTATTAATTTAGCATACAAAAAATCAAATTGTTGTAAAAGAAGAGTAAAATAAATCCGAACAGAAAACATAAACGTACCTTATAGCTTCTGATGCTATCATAACCAAGAACAATATCACCAATTTATCCTGAAAATTCGTTAAAATCATTATAAGAAAATATAGTTAAAAATGTATTAATAAGAGTTTTTTTAAAGGTTGATTGTTGGCCAACACTCAGTGATTGGCTCACTAACCATTTTGTCCGGGAAATGGAAGGACATGACTGAAACACCCCAATTTGTGAATTTGACGGTTAGATTTCACTTTTTGAGCTCATATAATCCATTTTTTTACCTTTTCATCAGCATCTCCATCATCATCATCATCGGTGTCATCATCTGTATCACTTTCATCATCAGGTATACCCTTCTTCTCATCTTTGTGCTTCTTTTTATCATCATCGCTATCATTATCATTTTCATGATGATCAACATTCTTCTCCATGTGGCCATGTTTCTTCTCATCATCATCATCGTCATTTTTTTAATGTTGAACACCCTTATGCTCATCATGTTCTTTCTTTTTACGCTTATCTTCCTTCTCACACCATGCTCCTTCTTTTTGTCCTTTTCACCCTCTTTGACATCACAACCAGCATTGTGATCATCATTGTCCTTTTCACCCTCCAAATGTTCGATTGCACTTCAATGTTGTCGGCAAATGAGAAACTTATTACCACAACTCCTAGTGTAACCAGTATAACCAAACATAACAAGATAGAAACTCTCGCCATGGTGAAAAAATAGAATAATGAGTAAGATGAATTTTTTTGGTGAGTATTTATAGGTTGAATGTTATTAAAAATTAATTATAAGACAAAAATAGGAAATTGTAACGAATTTGTGATTCGTCAAAAAGTAATGAGATTAAACCGGATTGTGTTTACTAGATATTCGTTTGTAATCACAAATAACATCACGTAATCTTTACAGCTAAGCTGCATGAATCACCAAACTGTAAAAGATAAGTACTTACACACCATTCGTATGTTGCACCAGTCGTTTTCGTTATATGTTAAAGATAATTGGCCCATTATTTTAGGCCCAGTAAGGTTGAGTCTCCCTAATAAGAAACGTTGTACACATTTAGTTTGGTCTATTTGAATTCGGTGCCAGAGTCCTACCTAACACACTAACAAAAAAAGAGGAAGAAAAAACTTATGAGAAACGGACGAATATGAACTAACATCTTCTGATACAATACTACAACACCTAATGGAAAAAAAACATCCCAAAAAATAAACGATGGAGGTTCTTCTGATACAATTACTAGCGTTTCTCATCCTTGTTCACGAAACTAGTCTTAGAAGATGAAGAAGACGAGTTGTTGAACATAGATAGCGGAGGAAGTTGCGATGATGGTTGATCCAAAGAAGCACCCGTTTGATTATTTGCTATTATGTTAGACATCAATAAGCTACTAAAATAGCCTCCACGCCCTTTATTATCATTATCCGTTGCGGCTGTTCTTTGAACATTGTCGCTAGTAGGATGGCGTGGACCGACCATCTGTTGTTCCCCGTTGGATCCGACCATGGATGAGATCGCAGCTGCGATCACCGAATGGAAACTTGGGTCGGAAGTAAGCGCTTTCGTTAGGGTTTCGGTTAAGGACTGGCTATTTTGGAGTGTTTTCACTTGGTTGGACGTACCAAACTGGACGTTGTTATAAGGGTATGGAGTATAAGAAGAATACCCATTTCCCCAAGTCGCAGGTTGGTTGAGAATAGACGAATTTGATGATGATGAATTAGAAGAGAAATTCAAACTTGTGGGTGGGAATCTTTGGAAAGTGTTAGGGAATTTGTTGAAATTTAAAGAAGGCAATGAAGAAGAGGAATGTTGTGGCGCGGTGAGGTCAAGAGTGACGGTGGGATGTAATGGAGAATGAAGGGTGGGTGAATAAAAGGATTTGTTGTTGGTGTTATTGATGAATCTTGAATTATCGTAGAGGTTGTTTCCGATCATTTCTGCGGCTGATGATGAGGAGGAGGAGCCGGAGAGGAGCATAGAGGCGGCGGCTGAAGTAGTAGAGGCCATGGTGGTAGCTGAGAGAGGAAGAGGATGGCTGTGCGTTCCTTCATAGGTTGTGATTAATATGGACATGTCATCTGCACATCTTTGGACCTAAACATCAATAGTTAAGACAAATAGTGAGGATTTTGATGATTTGTTTTAGTATATGCACATGGCCAAATGCTTTGGTTTGCTTAAGAATGTTCACAATTTAAAATACATTTTATATGGAAAATGAACTAAAACTAAAACAGGACCAAACAAATTTATGTTGGACATGGTTTCAATTTCATTATTATTCTTTCAAAGTTAGAAAAATCAAGATTAAAATGATAGATGTATTTGATTATTTTGTAGATAAGTACCTGTTTTCTAACGGGACAACCAGGTGCAACCGTGCAGCGATAGTATGCTCGTGGACAAGGATTTCCTTTCGCAATCTTTTGACCATATTTTCTCCATTGACAACCATCATTCATCTAATACAATTTAATAAAACTTTGTCTTAATTATCAGTGGTGACATATAAAGGATAATTAACTTGGTTACAATAATCAAAGTTATAGATCAAAGAGCATGTATATATAAGTTAAAGGACGTACCGTTGGTGTGTCACATCTCGCTCTAACACAAACTCTAGCTCTCTTTACAGGATTTTGCTGGCCAGTCTCTCCATCAGCATCGCCACCGGAGGCCGGTGTCGGAGAGCTTCTCTTCCCGGTAACTTTACTCGGCGGCCAAGTTTCTCCCGGAGCCTCCTCTGAGCTATTTTCAAGGCTGGAAGTGGCCTGATTCGCGACATTGGGGTCACCGCCGTTGCCGCTATTGAACCCTAAGGTCAAGCCAGCTTTGGTCAACTCTTCATCAGCGTTGACTTCTTTGGTGATAGTGTTTTTCTCTTCCTTTTTTGAGGTGGTGTCACTCGGGGAAGAACTTCTTCTTCCGAGTGAAAGCGACACAAACTCGCGTTCTTGATCTAAAGAACGCAAATCTGTCGTCGCCTTAGGAAGATCAACCATGTTTTGATCTTGTGTTTGGTTGCTTGAAGTTGAAGGTTCTTGTTGAATTATATCGAAGAATCTGAGCTTGAGGGATTTGTAATCACTTTCAATTCGTTCGAGCATCCCTTTAAGCTTTTCGTTCTCTTCCTTCACCTCGCTCATCTCAGCCTTGGCAGATTCAAGTTCTTGATGATCTTCATCATCCTAAGATCATTGAATACAAAAACGGATTAATTTCCCAAATAAATATATATAAGTTGTTCCAAGAATTTCTTTATTACATATATAGATCATGGCGATGAGCCATACTAACCCTAACTAGCGAATTATTGAAGATCCTATATATCGAAAATAACTTTATAATCTTCTAATTTTTATTTTTAAATGACGATAAATATTTGAGTCTTTATTTTACTTAATTACGATAAGGAAAGCAATTATGGAGTAGATCTATCTCAGGATACAAGAATTACATAAAAGCGTACAACGATTTACAAATCTGAAGTGCTTCCGTATACATGTAGAACAATAAGTATTTGCACATATGAGTTGGTTACCTTAGTAGCTCCATGGATTTGAACAGCTCCAAGAACTTTATCCTTAAGTAGAGAATCAGAAGTAGGTAATTTAAGGACCTCCATTTTTAGAAATATAAGATCTTTGTCTTCTTTCTTTGAATTTTGTTTCTATTTTGTTGTCTGTTTGTTTCTTCACAGCCTTAATGAAAACCCTTTACTTATAGTCATTTGTGTAGTTTCTTGGAGAGGACCCAAAGCGTCAACAATTCAACATGTTCAGTTTTTTATTCTATTTATTGAATTCCAAGACTTTTTCCCCCAATCATAACTCTGTTATATATTTTAAGTACTAATGAAATATAAATAAATGATTCCCTGACTTTGTTGTTGATAATACTGCTTCTCCGTTTTGCTAGAAATATTACAACTAGAATATAATGAAAAAAGAATAGAAGAATTTTTGTAATCATATATCTTTATTTATATGTTTAACATTATGAAAATAAAATTCGAATTAAAATTAACTAAGTGACCCCATAATGTTTACAATAATTTTTCTGACGCCTATAGTTAAGTAAAATTACAAGTTTAAAATGAAAACTGTAATGATCATTTCACATGAAGTATATAAAATCGAACCAAATGTGGATAAAAAGTCTACATATGTCTTGGTTAATTAATTGGAGCACTATTTAAATGTCCAAAAGCAATAAATGAAACTAATATATATATAAGAAATTAAGAGCCTAATTGTACGGCGTGAAATAGAGATTGTATAATGTGATGGCCTGGGAGATATCTTTGAAGCTTCATGGAAGAAGACTTTTTCTATCTGTTTGCCTCACATCACATGAGCATTCGTCAACTGTTTAAATCTTATACTATTTGTTTAATTAGTGTGTTTATTACCCTCCCTCATCGAGAACATGTTATATACATAGTCCAAATATGCATATACATTCAATTTACCCAAGTGTGCATAAGTAATATTTCTTGAGTACGTGAGGCTTCTTTGGGTCGCACTCCCCAACGTCCCGGTGTGGTTACCGCCGGGGTGATTTCAACAGACTGAGAGCTCGAGACATTCGCTGTTGAAGGCGGCGAACATGATTTCTGGAGGAAGCAATGGTTGCGATTTTATGACGATTGTACCACGTGGAATCTAAGGTTTTTGGTTGGTGCCAGTTTACTAGGTTTAGTTTTTCAGTTCAATTTTATTACTGTAACCTCTTAACTAATTTCCATCTGGAAAGAATTTTAATATAGTATTTCAATTTAAAATTTCCTTTTTTACGGGAGCACTCTTAGATAAATCATATTATCAACCATAAATAAACATCCATTGTTAGTTAAGTTATTTTTTCACTTGGTGTTTCAAACATGTTATTCTGTATATTTCGTTTCACAAGCTTTCAGGGTTCGTATAGAATTAGCAATCTTAATTAGAAGAAACAAGATGACGTCAACTAGAAGAACTATAGGAAACAAGATTTATAGGATTTACTACTTCAGAACCAAATCTCAAAGTAAAATCATGTAACATGATCAGAAAGGAAAACTACTAGGCATCAATTATGTAAGCCTTGTTCATGTGATAGGCCAAAGGTTGCGTATACCGGTCAATACGCAGGCTACACACGGTGATTGTATGATTTTGTCAACTATGGACTTTGTTAAAAAGAAATCTTTTTTTTTTCCCAATGTTATTTTCTAATTTTATTTATAACCAACATATATACGAATGTCAAATGCTTCACATAGTTGTCAAGTTTCATCAGTGACGTAACGCTGCATGGCGTTGAAAAAAGCACATGCATTATTTGCTATATTTTCTTGTAAAATATTAATAAATAATATATTTTAGTTTAAACTCTTTAAGACATAATGAAATACTTGTTTACTATTTATGATTAAATATATGAACTTTAATCGTATACAATTATCGGTAAAACCACAAAGATAAAACATTAGATATATCTTTATAAGTTTAGCCCACTTTATTGATAATAATCTACATAAGCAATTGTCGTCTTTCCTGTCTTCAATTCTCCAAACCAAACAATTTATTAGTTATTTCAAATCAATACTACTAGTATACGTTTTTGTGGTGCCGTACATAATTATAAGAGTATTATTTATTTTTCTATTTTGATCCAAAGTGTTGAATCTTGAATAATTAATTTGGGCTCGATCTACGTTTCCAACTTTTATATTTCTTTTGGGGATCTGAGCTCCTACAGCTTTATATATTACTGAAAAAATCTTAGTAAACATTTGATCAACTCAACTTACATCACTCATTCATTTGTTTTGTTTCTGTTTTTAATAACTAAAGACTTTCTTGTTAACTACTATTATATATGCTGTGTACAGTTCATTATATAGTTAAGTACACAATCGTGGTCGCAATGTGGTTGCTGTTTAATTCAATAAGCAATTAAATATAAAATTAGCACGTCTCACATGATTATGAAAAAACTAATTAGTTGTGTTACTAATTACAGGGAAATGATAAAGCTAGCTCTTTCTTATAATTTTGTTACTTAATTGTCTCAACAGCCATTTCGATTACCACGGGACAAGCCATGTATGTAAATTGCTTCTTTGCGATAACTAATTAACTAGTGGTACTAATCTCTGAATTTCGTTTGAAAGACTAGTGATGAAATTCAAATATTTTGATGTGGAAAATTGATGGCTTAATCATCCATAATAAGACAAAGGAAGATTATCAACTGTTGGTCTTATTTAGACAATAAAAGTCTTTGGTCAGCTGTATTAATTAGTTTTTCTCTGTAATTTGCGATAAGTTTGTTTATTTCAGTTCCAGTGTAATTAGTTATGTTCATATGGCCGCACTGTTAAATAATATTATAAACACCACAGTTCCATAAAATTTGCAAGGAAATAAGAAGTTTTAGATGTTTTCAGAAAACGAGTGAAAGAAGAAAGGTCAACTAACATGTCTCTGCGACTAGCAAAGACAGATCAGAGATCTTGACCCAAGCTTTATTAGTCTTTTAAATAACGGTTTATATATAATATACTCTCAGAACTATAATATATGTATATATGAATACATCCATAATATTTTACAAAAACAAAATAAACTAGAAATGACCTCCTTGATTTTATTACTTCTGATAAATCCGAATTATGTCTACAATAAAATTTACTTTTATTACTGATATATATATATATGTCAAATTAATTAATTAATTGTTTAAAATTTGTTGATAAATTAAAGTAATAATGATTAGTTATCGTTTGTTCAATTTAAACACCAAAAACGAAAGCTAGAGATGGTTTAAGATTGAGTATTACTTAAGACGTACCATATTTACATGCTCTGATTCTAAAATTCAGAGAATATGTGAGTTTTGGTTAAAAAAACTCCAAATCTTTTAAAATAAATAATAAAATAAAGTAACAATCTATATAACACAACTATTTATATGGAAAATCATCAAAAAAGTTTAAATGTGATATACCCTAATCTCTTGGAAAATGCTAAATACCTCAGCTTGAACATATAGTATTTTGTTAGTATGAAATGTTCTTATATGCTAGCGAAGAGTCCGTATATATGGTGCTGGTCTTCAACAGAAAATACAGCTATAATAAATAAATATTTGTGCCATCAACTTGCGGATAGATTTTTCAACTACTGACCTAAGGTCAATGGTTTGGATTTAGACATTGAAATTAAACAATCGAAGAAAGAAGTTTAGAGACAACTTGGAGATTCTCTATTGAAATTTAGGTCAATGGTTTTAGATTGGTCATCGAATGAATGATTAGTTTATTATTGTTGTTAGGTTAAGGCTCCCATCTCTAGGCATTATCCAAGATATTTGAATTTGAATTTGGTATTTTTTGTTCTCGCAGAAAATATTGATTAATAAGTTGAAGGAGTACATGTACAGCTTGTAGTTTCACTACTTATTCTTCTCCGTGGAAATTGAGCAGGTCGGCCAGTTGAAACTCAATTCTTTATACCAACTATCCGTTAACTAACTTATACATTTCAAGTTGCTAGAGCATTTTATGGAATACATCGAAGTACAAGTAGTCCTTGCTACGGCATACATTCCAAACCGAATAAATCAATGCAGCGTTTAGAATTATTGTTATGATTTTAGTTGCAACAGTTTGGAAATTGATATATGTTGCAAATACTTGACTTTGTACATGAATAAATTACAGTCGTTCTTGTTCGTTTCGACAAAAATTACACTAAAAATCTGTAAACCCCAATATAACGGATGAAGAAACAAAACACTATACTAAAATTGTCAGGTTCAAGTCTTAGCATTTACGGAAAGAAGATCTACAACCAGTTGATCTTAGCCCTGAGCCAAAGAAATTACGGAGTTCAGCCTAGAACTTCTCGTAGTAAAAAAAAAAGAACAAAACACTTCACGCCAAAAATTATTCCTCTTAAGTCATACTTCATAGGAGAGGAACCAGTGGCATCGCCTTTTTTGCCTCTCACTCACAATTCTAGTCATTACTATTCATTTCATTCATTTTTTCTTTCGGTTGTTTTTTGTCAACTCAGACGCATGAGAGTTAACAAATGTTGATTTGCGTTTAAACGGTTTTATATTTGGTTTGTATCTTAAATATCGAGATAATATCTAATGAAAATTCAAAGTAAAAAAAAAACTCTATAAACACTAAATATACCAAAGCTGATTCAGACCAAGTCTATTTTATTTTGGTTACTATCAGAAAAGACTTGAATAGAAGCCGAAGATTTTTTTGTAAATAGAAGCCGAAGATTTATACCAAAATCAATAATGATTTTATCTTTTATATTGGAACTCCAGTAAAGATTTTATTTTTTTCATGTTTCATTTCCCTTTTTTTATTCACATAGAAGAATTTAAACTAAGAAGGCCAAATTAAAAAGAAAAAAAAAACTCGAAATTTGATAAGTGAAATATATTCTTTTTGAAAAATAGTCTCAGTCCTCAACCTTTGGACCTCCGTATAACGCTCCAACTACGTTAAGATCCTCTGGATTATCATCTCTTTCTTGCAGCCAGGCATGGCCTTCTCTCTCCACCTGGCCTCTCAAAACGTCGTCTTCCTCTAAAAACCAGCACAAACATGTTATCTACCTGGTCCAACTACATGCAATCAGTTGATATACTACTATGTATTAGTAAGTATAGAAAGCTGACCTGATGAGACTTGTCCAAAGGGAACTCTAAGAAATAAGTGCAGTGCCTGCCTTCTCCATTACAGTAAGGAGGGCCAAGCACATCTAGAACCGCGCACGCTGTTTTCGCTGTGAACCGATGCATGTTCCCACCATCTTCCGGGTACAAGATCGAGGCGTTGCATGGTGCTGTTAACGTTGAGTCCATCTTCAATTTTGCCAGCCGCGTTTTTGAATCTTTCACTGAGGTTGCCATAAAACAAAGAGCGATTTTTCAGTTCACATTATATAAATCATAGACTATTAATGCTTTGATTGATAAGTGCAGAATGTGATAAACAAAATAATAATATGGATGATAAAACTAACTTGTATATCATATCGGAATACTCTAATTATCACATTCACATTCACAAAAAGACATAAACCAAATAGTTTTCCCAAATGAATATAAAAGACTAAAAAGCTTATTAAGTAAATTAACATCATTTTTTTTCTATGTATAATTTTAAGCGTTTATATTATATAACCTAAAACGTGGAAATGGAAAAAGCTAGCTGTATATCATTCAGCAACTATAGAATAGGGTACATTCCATCACCCAATTATATCACAAGAGGGGCACATAATCTTGGGGCGATTGGTTGGACTGTAACTGTAAAAATTAGTTTGTAAAATTTTTGGATGTAGTTATATCTAATGTAGCTGTAGAAATTAAATGAAAAAAAAAAAAAAAGATATTTCTACAGCAATCCTACATCAGTATTTTTTTTGTTTTAGAAAATAAGGTTCATATAGTAACTTTTTATTTTTTGACTTTAACTTTAAAAACTACTTAAAGCATAATTGTTGATTTATATGGTCATATATAGAAAATAAAATTAAAGTAATTAGTTAAAGCTCAATCAATCATCGTTTTTATTTGCTTAAGGACCATTCCCAAGTTTTTGACGCAAGTAAGGTGACCTGACCAAGATAGAGTATGTGGTCGGTCCTAAAGTGAGATCAACCATACGAGTCATCACAGCAGCACTGAGATGAGATCTATAATAACTTTTAACGGTCATGAAACAATCCATCTATTGGTTTTGACTTTTGAGCTGAAAACACTTTAAAGTGATTATCAGTATTATTCTAATCACTAGGTTCATAGCTCCGCGCAAGCGCGGAGCCGGAGACAGTGATGATGCGTTATGATGTTTTATAGATGGGATTTTGTCATTTTTTTGGACATTTTTTTGTTTAGGGTTTAACCGAAAACCCGATTGAATTTAGTTGGTATATGAATGAGTGAAAATTCATATGCTTTGAAATATTCATATATTATTTTAGTAATGATTTTCTCGAATATTTGTGTTATTAGTGCTTTTATGTCTAGGATGGGTGATTTATTATGTTGTTATTGTCTAATTTGTAGGTTGGTAGTATATTATTGTTAAATAGTGAATTAGCATTTACAA